AGGGACGAGGCGGAGCCAGAGGAGTGGAGTCCCGAGGCGGCGGATGGTCAACGACTGACCAAGGCAGAGCCGGAGGAACGATGGAGCCCGGTGGAGCTGGTGGACTGACGGGCCATGGTGGAGACAAGGGAGCTAGGAGCCATGGTGGAGCCGCTGAGTCGCAAGACCGAGGTTGAGCCTGGGCCTCTGAGGCTGAATGCGGAGTCGAGGGATCCTCCAGACTCAATGCCAATGGAGCTGGAGATAGGCAGACCAGCGGCGAGCCCACGCCACAGATGGTGAGCTGAGGGTGAGCAGAGAGGCTGACGGGATCCAGTGGAAATGGCGTTGAGCAAGGAAACAAGTCTATGAGAGGTGGTGGGAGAGGGAGGTTGGGTGGGATATCTTGCCAATCCGACATTACAGATGAAGATGGAGTGAAGATTATTTCCGTATCCAAGTCGATTAATAGTCCAGAGTCCAGTGTGAGCTCACCCCCAGCGGTGGTGCCGTGGGCGGGGCTTTCCGTAGCCCCCGCGATGTCCACAGCTGTCTCCACCGTCGCTTGTGCTGCCGGCTCTCGCACCTGGTCAGATACTTGGGGCTCAGGCTCCGGGGCGATCATCCGCTCTGTCGCTCCTGATGGCAATGGCTCAATCACTGCGGCAGGCTCTGGCTCTCTGTCTGCGGTGAGCTCGGGCAGCTCCGCACCGTGGGGTGGAAGTTGACTGGGCTCTGGTTTCGGAGTGGGGTTTGTGTCGTCATCCGCGATGTCCACGGTGAGTCTCGATTGGCAGGACACCAGCACCCACTCGATGAAGGTGGCGAGGCTCTCTTGAGGACCATCCCCGGACAACTGCGCTCGTGTGGTGGCGTTAAGTCCAACTTGATAGAATGTGCAGAGGCAGTTGTCCGGGTAGTGTGTGAGGTTGGCGAGGGCCACAAAGTGTGTAGTGTGGTCTTCGAGAGAGCGATCCCCCTGCTTCAGCAGGAGGACGAGGACAGCAGGGTCATCCATAACAAAAATAAAAACTGACAAAAACCGGAAAACAAATGAGGGGAAACACGTCGCTATACTTTTCTTTTTGGGTCGGTTATTCTGTCACGGTCATGGTGTGTGGAAACAGGCAGGGATGACGAAGACGACAAGAATTCCAATAAGCACTTTAATATCCACAACAAGTAACATCCAGGCAGGTCAAGAACACACACACACACACACACACACACGGGGTAACATTCACAATAACTGACAAACTAGAATACAAGAGACAGGAACCACAATCAACAGTCCACAGGGGTGTGACAATATATATATATGGTGGATTTTTACAATCTGCCCCTAAGGCAAGGGTTAAATGATAAAGTGTGTACTAAAAGACATTTCAACTCCCAACTTTATTACATAGAATAAATTGGGACTTCAGATGCAGTTTGTTTAATAATATTTTGAATAATATTTAATATTATTAAATAATATTATATGGTGGATTTTTATATCTTTTTATTTATCTGCGTCTAAGACAAGGGCCAAATGATAGACATTTAACATCCCAGTTTATTCATTATAGTTTGTTTGTTTGTTTGTTTACTAAATAAACAGATTTTTAATATTATTTTAATAATAGTTATTATTATAAATTTAAATAATATTATATGGTGGAAATTTATTTTAAATTTTTTAGTTGGGTGAAAAGAAATAGACTTGTTTTTTTTAAATAATTGTGCCTGTGTTATTGCCAACTGCATACATTTAAAAGGTGTGTATTTTCATTGGAATTTTAATATTTCACCCTCATTTCCTTTAATAAATCGATTTTACATTAGGTACAAAAAGTAATTCCTCTCAGGACCTTAAGGAGAAAAATGTCCTCATTGAAACCCATTAAAATTGCAATTTGTAATCCCAGGGCTATTTTTTACTATAAAATGATGCAATATTTGTTAATAGGCTTTCATTCTGTTGGCAAGGTTTCAAAATAAATTTTTTTACTATAATAATTTTTTTTACTATAATAATAATAATAATAATAATATACTATATTTTACTAGACGATGCCATTTTTTTCAAGTTTGGCAAATAAAGCAAATACTCGCTTATTCCTGTTTTCTGCTTATGCATATTATAGTCTATTATAGAGTCAATTGGATAAATTATGCAGCTGTAATTGTGTGGGTGTGTTGGTATGGATGTCAAGAGTGTGTGTCCTAAATAAAATGTTTGTGTGTTTGTGTGTGCGCACCTGTAATGTTTGAGAGAGAGAAATGATACTGTACTGTGAATCACAAATCCCACCGTTGTGTATGCCAGCGGAGCTTTGCTGGAATCTAATGGGGAAAGTTTGGTACTGCACCCAAACAAAATCTTACTAAAAGCTAATTTTTTGAGATATCAACCTCAAATTTGGAACACAACTTGTTTAGATTTATGGCTTTGATTTTCTATCAGCTTTTGAGTTCCAAATGTTTTATAAAATATATATTTTATATAGAAATTGCTCATAAATCATTTTCATAAACTTAAACCTCTATAACGTTTTTGGTTTCAACTTTTTTAACTTCAACATTAATCTGTCAAGGGTCTTCTTTAAAATGAGACCAAACTTAAGTCTGTACTCCCAAGCTTCAAATTTTTATGACAGTTTTTTTTGACATGGACATTTTTGTCCTGTATGATCCTATGTGTAACTTTTTAAAATTGACGCACAAGGGTTAAATTGATTTTTCTGAGCCCACCAGCAGATATTTGTTCTCATTTTAATCATAAACACATTTCGATCACTTTCTCATAAAACAACTCTTTTTATCTTCTTAGGTAATTTTGCTTCTCAAGTAACTGTATCTTGGTTTAAGAATCTTGGACATTTGCTCTGGAAAACAAGACTGAAATACTGAGGAAGAACAGCAGTTTTTTGCAGTGTGATCAGAAGCTTTTTTTCTCCATATTTCCTTAATCTGGATTTGAACCTATTCTCTCTCTTTATGTCTGTCTATCTCTGTGTGTGTGTGTGTGTGTGCGTGTGTGTGTGTGTGTCTGTCTGTCTGTCTGTCTCTCTGTCTGTCTGTCTGTCTGTGTGTGTGTCTGTCTGTCTCTCTGTCTGTCTGTCTGTCTGTGTGTGTGTCTGTCTGTCTCTCTGTCTGTCTGTCTGTCTGTGTGTGTGTCTGTCTGTCTCTCTGTCTGTCTGTCTGTCTGTGTGTGTGTCTGTCTGTCTCTCTGTCTGTCTGTCTGTCTGTGTGTGTGTCTGTCTGTCTCTCTGTCTGTCTGTCTGTCTGTGTGTGTGTCTGTCTGTCTCTCTGTCTGTCTGTCTGTCTGTGTGTGTGTCTGTCTGTCTCTCTGTCTGTCTGTCTGTCTGTGTGTGTGTCTGTCTGTCTCTCTGTCTGTCTGTCTGTCTGTGTGTGTGTCTGTCTGTCTCTCTGTCTGTCTGTCTGTCTGTGTGTGTGTCTGTCTGTCTCTCTGTCTGTCTGTCTGTCTGTGTGTGTGTCTGTCTGTCTCTCTGTCTGTCTGTCTGTCTGTGTGTGTGTCTGTCTGTCTCTCTGTCTGTCTGTCTGTCTGTGTGTGTGTCTGTCTGTCTCTCTGTCTGTCTGTCTGTCTGTGTGTGTGTCTGTCTGTCTCTCTGTCTGTCTGTCTGTCTGTGTGTGTGTCTGTCTGTCTCTCTGTCTGTCTGTCTGTCTGTGTGTGTGTCTGTCTGTCTCTCTGTCTGTCTGTCTGTCTGTGTGTGTGTCTGTCTGTCTCTCTGTCTGTCTGTCTGTCTGTGTGTGTGTCTGTCTGTCTCTCTGTCTGTCTGTCTGTCTGTGTGTGTGTCTGTCTGTCTCTCTGTCTGTCTGTCTGTCTGTGTGTGTGTCTGTCTGTCTCTCTGTCTGTCTGTCTGTCTGTGTGTGTGTCTGTCTGTCTCTCTGTCTGTCTGTCTGTCTGTGTGTGTGTCTGTCTGTCTGTCTGTGTGTGTGTGTGTGTGTGTTTCAGGCATGATCTGGTCGGAGTGTAAGGAGATCTGGGTTGACGGGCCGCGTGAGTACGTGATGCACCTGTGGAATGTTCTGGATTTCGGGATGCTGTCGATCTTCGTGGCCTCCTTCACCGCTCGTTTCATGGCGTTCCTCAAGGCATCTAAAGCTCAGCTCTACGTCGACCTGCACGTCCCCAACCACGACATCAGCAGCGCATCACTTCCTGCAGACATCGCCTACTTCACATATGGTGTGTAAATGCATGCAGAACCTCACACTTCTGTCTGAACTCTTGGCCGTACCAACATAAGATGACTGGAAAAATATGTGAAAAATACCGAACAAATCAGAGCATGTCAAGGTCACATTTCACCTGAAAATCAAATATAAGAAATAAGATATTATGTTCATTAAAGATCTTTATGTTTTTGCTGTGTGACATTATTTGCACGATGAAAACACATTTAGCTTTAATTAACTAAAGCTAAAACTCAAACTCAAATGAAAACCAGTAAAAATATTTTTGTTACTTGAAATAAATTACATTTTAACTGAAAAGAGAAAAAAGAAAAGAAAAAAATAAATACACTTTTAATTTCAGCTAGTTGCCTAGGCAGCCTTTATCAGTTTAATTTGGTTTAACTTGATGTACTAAAACAACTAAAACGGAAATAAAAATGAATAAAAATACGTATTAAATACATATAGACAAATAAAAAACTGTTAAAAATGACAAAACCTCAGAACACATTGACTAAAACTTTAACTAAATTTAAAATGAAAACAGAAAATATTGAAATGAATTTAAAACTGATTCACCATATTAATAACAACTTTAATATATATTCTGTAAATTTTGAAATTATTATTTTAATTACATTAATTTAATTAAATTCATTTTTACTGAATTATAAAATATTTGAATGAATACTTAAATAATGTAAAAATGGTCTTGTAGTAAGAATAATTGGTCATATTATTGTTATTGTCTTATGCACATTACAGTAATGAGAATGTGAATGTGACCTAGACATGTTTTCATGTGATTCACCCTGTTACTGCTGTGAAATCATAATACATTAATATGGGATCTTCTTCAAACAGTACAAGACGCGTCAGAATCTTGCAGTAATTACCTTTTCGTTAATGACAATGGTAGATAATACCAGTTTAGCATAGTTGTATTGACATACAACAACTGATTATGGAATTCTAGCTGAAATTGTGTTTACCATAGTACATTTTTGTGAGGTATGTGACTGTAGAATGCGTTCATATTGTGCGCTCAGGTATTTTGGGTAGAATCGTTAATGAGAGGCTGTGATGCAGATCTGTAGGAGTGTTAGCATCATTAGCTCAGCTGAAATCTGACCGCTGCTGTGTGTTAGCTGTGTATTAGCTCTGAGCACTAATAGATTAGCTGTAACTCTTATGGACTACCTAAACTTTTGTGTAACTAAGTATTAAACTATTAAACTAACATAGCCAATAAAGAAAGAAAGAAGCAAATAAATAAACAAACAAACCTAGTATATGAATCAGAGTGTGCAGCAAGTCCAGAGAAAGAAAAATCGAATGTTGTTATTGTTAACCAAATCTAAAACTAAAACGATTAAAATTAGTTTTTTTTTTGTTAAAACAAATACTGAAATAATATAAAATATAAATGTTAGATTCAAAACTTTTATTTTAGATTTTAATTAATATTTAGAATTTTTGATTCAATTAAACATTTAAGAAATGTAGTTTTATTTTGTAATTTTCCTTCATTTTATTTTATTTTTAAATATACCTGTATGGTTTTTTATTATTACTTCAGTTTCAGTTTCTATTTTTTATATCACTTTAATAATTTAAATTCTACAGATTTTAATTAAATAGAAGTATATTGTAAAAATTGTATTAAGTTTGACTGTCATATATAAAAAATTAGTGAATAACCATTATCAACATTTTCGTTAATAGAAAAAAACTGAAATATTAATATTAGATGTCATTTTCATTACATTTATTTTGTTTTAGAATTGAGGTAGTATTATATTTTTTATTAATGTTTAGATTTTTGCCTTAAATTTTAATTGAAGTTTACAACTTTAATTGTTATTTTATTTCATTTCTAGTTATTTTAGTACATCAAGTTAAAATAAATGAAAATGAGCAATGTTGTCTTGGCAACTAAATAAAATAAAATCAGTTCCAAGTTTGAATACAATTAAAATAAAATGTTTAAAAAAATAACAAATGCAACAATTTTTTTTTAATTGAAATAAATTAAAAAGGAAACTGAAAATATACAAATAAAAGCTCATTCAAAATATTAATACATACTAAAATAACACTTGGAAATAGTAGTAGGTTGTTTGAGTATGGCATGCATACATAATACATACTTCTGAGATATTATGACTAGTATGATAAAGCTGATATGTGTTATCAATGCTGCTATCTGCTGGTGTGAACGTGATATCACAGCCTCCGAAATCACACAACATATATGAATACATACATACATAATATGAGAGAGAGAGAGTGTGTGTGTGTGTGTGTGTGTGTGTGAAATCTTTGAGTCAGCTGACAGTGTGTTTGATCTTCATTGTGTACACTGAGAATCTCTGAACAAGGTCTTCATTAGCATTAGCCTTTGACTTCCTCCCTGTGATTCTCTTTGAATTCAAACCATCAAACATGCATGACGTTACTTTACCATTCCTTTAAATCTGAATCAGCTCCCAGTTACAGAACGTACCGTGGTATCGGCGCAGTATTTCCAGTGAAGCTCTCTGTACGTGTCTCTGTCGCAGCGAGGAACAGGTGGAGGCCGTCAGATCCTCAGATCATCTCCGAGGGTCTGTATGCCATCGCCGTGGTCCTGAGCTTCTCTCGCATCGCCTACATCCTCCCGGCCAACGAGAGCTTCGGCCCGCTGCAGATCTCTCTGGGACGAACCGTGAAGGACATCTTCAAGTTCATGGTTATCTTCATCATGGTCTTCGTGGCCTTTATGATCGGCATGTTCAACCTGTACTCCTATTACTTGGGGGCCAAATATAACCCCGCCTTCACCACGTGAGTGACATGCAGCCAAAGCTCTCTGTACGTGTCTCTGTCGCAGCGAGGAACAGGTGGAGGCCGTCAGATCCTCAGATCATCTCCGAGGGTCTGTATGCCATCGCCGTGGTCCTGAGCTTCTCTCGCATCGCCTACATCCTCCCGGCCAACGAGAGCTTTGGCCCGCTGCAGATCTCTCTGGGACGAACCGTGAAGGACATCTTCAAGTTCATGGTTATCTTCATCATGGTCTTCGTGGCCTTTATGATCGGCATGTTCAACCTGTACTCCTATTACTTGGGGGCCAAATATAACCCCGCCTTCACCACGTGAGTGACATGCAGCCATAGCAACACCCTTGCAACCACACACACTAACACACATTTTATGAAGAAATTGAAAAATTTGATAACATTTTTGCATCTCTTTTTTTTGCTGGTGGTGCAGAAATTACGCAACTTATTTTATAAGAAATTTCAAACATCAAATGTTTAATTTTTTTAGATTAAATATTTGATTACTTATTATTATATTTATAATTATACCCAGATTTCACATTGCACATGCAACACAGTAAAAAAAAATCATGCGACAAAACAAATTTTTTTTTTACATTAAACATTTCACAGATTAAATTATTTAATACTGGCCTACAATATGTGAAACTATATTATTGTTACAGAGTTCATTTTTTAAATTATTATTACTATGTTTATAATTAGAGGATATATTTTACATCACACATGCAACACTGTAAAAACTGTGCATTATTAAAAGTAAAAAATTATTTACATTAAACATTTCTTGCTGAAATTTGACCTGCAATTGGACAGCAATATGTAAAATAATTAACGTGGCATTGGTTTTTTGTGCATAAAATAATCAAATATTTATTTACATTAAATATTTTTGCTGAAAACATTTAATATTAGTGACCTGCAATTTGCCTACAATATGTAAAATTGTTAATATGACATGAGCTGAATACAAAAAATAGTTTATTGTGCAAAAAAAATGTTTATTTACATAAAAAAGTATCACTGAAATTATTTAATAATTTGTTGTGACCTGCAGTTGGCCAGAAATATGTAAAATTATTAACGTGACATGAACTGAACAGAAAAATATTTTTTGTGCATAAAAAAAGATAAAAATTTTATTTAAAATAAACATGTCTCACTGAAAGTAATTTATACTAACGTGACCTGCGATTGGCCAACAATATAAAAAATTATTAACGTGATGTCGTCTGAATAATAAAAATAATCATTATCATGAATAAATAAAAAAAATATATATATTAATTTACATTAAAATAATTTAATATTACTGTGACTTGCAATTGCCCAACCTATATATATATATATATATATATATATATGTATGTGTATATAGCATTATCAATGCAAACCTATGTATACTTTAAACATAATGGATTATTTAATACAAGACAAAAATACAAAGTAAGACAATCATGTTTTGCAATACATTGCTATAAAATGTCTGGAGAGCAGCTTGGACACATGAGCCTAGTCTGAGACATTGTTGAGATTATTTCTAGATTTTTCTCAGGAGAAACATCAAGCAGGATGCTTCAGTGAAAGTCTCATTTTTTCTCATTACTATCTGGGGGTGTGCAATAATTACAAAAAATTATATTATTATTTCTGGGATTTTGTCGATCGCAATAATTCGTATTTAGAAGCATTTAGATATATTTACACCACAATTACAATTGCATAAATAATACTAAATTAATGTTTTTTAAATATTAGAAAAAATATAAAAAATTTATAAAAAATTTAGACCAATGTTTTAAAAATAATATTCTGAACAATGAAATATTAAATTATTAAAAAAAGAATTGATACTTTAAATGTAAAAATAAAGTCACTGTTTTTATGAGTGAGTCACTGAGACCATTAATTCATTCATTCATTCATTCATTTGATTCATTCAAACGCTAATTAATTTAGAAATGAAGCAAGTGACCATCTTTATGAATAGATCATTGAATCATTGATTTGTTCAAAATATGTACATTTATTGAACTTTTGTGTAAAATCAATAGCAATAAATAAATGTTATTATTAGTATTATTATTATTAATTGTCAAGTTTTCACAAACATACACACACACATAATTAATTAAGAAAGAAAAATGAATACATTTTATATTTATTCATTTGAATATTATTGTTATTGGGCAAGGTCTAAAGTTATATTTTATATAACTTTAATGCTGTATGTCAGAGTGCTGCCTTTGTACTTTCGCCTGAATCACCTAGAAATGATTATGATGGCTGTTGTTGTTGTTTATTAAATACTATTATTCAATAAATAATATTTTATATAAATAATAGAAGTATGTAAAATATTTAGTAGAAACGGTGTGTGTTCGTGATGATGATTTTAGTGCATTGTTCTGCCATTAAATGGTGAAAGAGAGTTTTTATGAGTTAGCAGTAAAGACTTTTATATTGAAAGAGACTGAAATGTCTTTTTAATAACAAGGAAATTATTTTTACTTTCAACCACAAGATGCAGCCAACAAATGCACTGAGCAGTGCTGCCAATAAAAATCACCCTTAACAGATGAAAGGATAGTACGACAAAGATATTGCTTTCCTCAGCTGACATTCAAACTAATGTATTTTTGTGAATATGAGATTGGGCTGAAGAATGAATGCTGTATCAGATGCAGGTAATCACACTCTCTCAGTCAGTCTCTCTCTCATAATACTGTATTACACATAATACACTGCTTTTAATACAGTAATACAATAAGCTTTTAATGAAGCAACTCAACGTTCCTCTGTTACTAGTTCTAAAGTGACGTTTTTTAATTAGTAATGGAGGCTTGGGCTTAGCTGTTAAACTGTCAACTTTAGATTTGAATCCGTGGCGGAAGGAAGCAGTTCTGCACAAAAGAGAGCTTTTAAAGACACCCCATTGTTATTTTTTATGTATTTACACACTTGTGCCATCGAACTGTTGTATAAACGCAATATCAAACTCATAGCCATGCAATATGGCTGTATATAGGCACGCTTTGATTACTACAGCCAAATCAATAATGTTGTTATTATAATTATAAAAAAATCATCCTCTGAATATTTTACCATATGTGAAATTCATGTTTTTTTTCTCTTGCTGGTGATAGCTGTATTTTAACGGTATAAAATCAATATCACTTTGAAGTTGTGTTTTGGGAAATACAGCACATTTGCTCGTGTGATATTGCAAAACTATATCATATAGAAATACATGACAAACCCTCATAGAGAGACATTTTTGCTTTCAATGATTTAATTTGGGGTCGTTTAAATTCTGCTAGGCTACTCTTTAGGCCAGTTTTTGTTTGTTTTTGACATGCTTGATAATGTCAGCTTCTAAATCGTTAAAACAACAATCACAATATTATTGTAAACAAAACATATTGCAATCTTTTATTACTATCTGTGAGAATGAATGGGTGCATTAAAGAGATCTCGCTGGTGTTGGCCAGTAATGTGTTTCAACCTAATTACGATGTGTTGTGTCTGTGCTGGTAGTTTTGTTCGCTGTAGGTGAGAAATTAGCATGCTGATTAAAGCGATGCACTGCCAGCTACCGGCCCGTAACGGCCCACGGAAACCCTGTTAGCGTCGCCATGGTTACGCTCCTCCGTGAGGGCTCTAAATGGAGAGTCCCATCCACGTATCTGGGCCTGTCAGAGGATGCGTCGATTTTAATCATTCGGTGCTCATCACAGAGCGTCCTGCAGCAATAGAGACTGTTTTTAGGACAATAAGAGCCGCAGAGCAGATGAAATCAATGAGAGCCCACAGACTGATTTAATCTGAATCAGTGAAGGTGAACTGTGTTTGAGCTCAGGTTTAGGTTTGATGTGGACCGGAAGGTCAGCCTAACATGGTGACATGTGACACCTGCCATACAACAGAAAACCTTCCCAAAAAAGACATTATTAGGACATTAAAAATGAAAGCTTACTGGCCTGCAGGAAGGGATTTTTATGTTGTTTTGAAACATTTCAAATGTGTGGAACAGTTCACATTATTTTATATTACATGTACCGTAAGCAATCACCTCAATAATAATAATAATAAACAAAAAACATATAAACAATAGTGTAGTAGTAGTAATAATAATAGTAATAGTAATAGTAGTAGTATGTTACGGAAGTTCTAAGCAGCCATGCATTATTTTTTTTTTCGCTTCTTGTTTTCTCGTTATAACGGGGGGAAAAAAATAATGCATGGCCGCTTAGAACTTCCATAATATGTAATAGTAGTAGTAGTAATAATAATAATAATAATTTTATTGATATTATATTTATTTTATTGTTGTTTATATTTATTTATTACTATATATAAATATAAACTATATATATATATATATATATATATATATACATGTGTGCGTGTGTGTGTGTGTATTAATTAAACCTGAGCATATTAAAATTTGTATTATTATTATTATTTATTGTTGTTTAATAATTTAATGATTAAGGTATACTGTATATAGACATTTTAAATGCAGCCATTATTAATATATCAATAAATCTTAATAAATGAAACAAAAAGAATAATTGGTTTAATTAATATTTAATAATTGTATGATATATATCGAGAGAGAAAGAGAGAGAAAGAGAGAGACATTATTAATAAATGAAAAAACAATACTACTATTACTAATAATAATAACATTCATTGATATATATTATATATATATATATATATATATACTGTATATTTATATTATCATTGTTGTTTAATTCATTCATATTTTTAATGACATTTTAATTCATAACTATTTTTAATTATATACATTTTTATTATAATTGTATTATTATTTTGCAAACAAAAACATTTAACATTTTACTATACGAGATTTATTTTATTTATTTTTGTTGCTAATAAGAACATGCACACATAAGAACAGATATTTTCTTCATTTTGTGTCTAAGTAAATATATTTAATTTTATTCTTGATACTGTAATAATGTAAACATTGAAGTTCCTCTAGTGTCAGAGGTGAATTGAGTTCAGTTCCATGTAGTGTGTGTAACTTGTGAACAGTGTGTGTGTGTGTGTGTGTGTGTGTGTGTGTGTGTGGTGTCAGTAGAGGGCAGTGTGGATCTGCTTTCATCTCCAGCTCCTTATAGAGAAACATGCAGCATTTCCCAGCCTGCCTTGATAAAGTTCACATGGAGAAGGTGGAACTCATTAGTCATGAGACCGTCAAACACCTCTGCGCCTCCAACGAACTTAACTAACCTCAGATGTGGAAGACGGAGGCTTAATGTGGAGGTATGACAATCTGTAAA